GTATTCGTTGATGGATCGAAATCAACGATGGATCAGCAACGTGGATTACACGTTTTGCGTCACGTTGCAACGATATACTGGTTGGAACTGGTGTGGTGGAGTTGTAAAATCGGTCAGATGCTCGAGTTTACACGCTTCGAGCACGGAAACAGTAATTTTAGGCATCGAAAGGCTGCGTTTGGAATTATATATATGTGTAGATTTTGGAATTTTAGATTTTCTTTTTTGTAGCGTGATTAGAAAACGCACGTAGACACAGAGTGTAGTTTGTTGTTCGTTGCAGAATGCAAGAAATAAAATTAATATAATATAAAGAATTCGAAAAAATTGAGTTGTTTCACTCGTTGATCCGATAAAATGCTATTTTTTTTAATGAGTTGGGTTGGTAAATGTGATGAATGAGTAACGAGTAGATTTTCTTGCGTAGATTTACGTAATTGTTTGCATAACTTGAATAACAATGGTATTCATTCTCATTGATTTTCTTGGTATAGTGGTTAGAGAATATAATGAACTTCTATTTGAATTCTTTTTCTTTGATTCATAATAATTCAATTTCATTCTTATTTAAATCCTCTAATTTACAAGAAGTGATCTTCAAGTGTATATTGAGAAAAATTTGAAATTAATCGATATAGATCAAGACAAATCCTTATCATATTTTCTTCTTCTGACTAAGAATAATGTATATTTAATAATAAATGAATACGATAAGAAATAAATATAAGAAGGAGAAGAAATAAAGATCGAAAGAAAGTAAATACAATTAAATTAGAATATTTTTCTGTAGAATATTCCATTCTTTTCTTTCGCTGAATTATATTTTCATTGAGAGAAAGTTGGATACGGATGGAAAATTGTTCGATCTCAACTTCCTTTTTTAATTTCCATTGATCGAGTTTCAATGGAACTTTTTCTCTTTGGAATCTTCTGATAAAGAGAAATTGGATTCGAGCACAACAAATTTCGTTGAACCATCTGGTTTCGAAAATTGTCTCGATATATCAAATTTAATATCGTTCTCGATTCTCACATGCATTCATTTTCATGTAAGAAGCTTTCCGAGTTTCTCGTATATTATCTTTGAAACTCGATACGTGTCAATCGTATCGAAAATTAAAAATGAACGAACAGATAAAATTCGTTAAAATTTTCTTTTTTTCAAATTCAATTGAATTTTACTGTTGAAAAAATCTTCCAAAAAAATTATTCCAACGCAAAAAAGATTGTGAGAAACGTATAAAAATCATATATTTAATGGCCTTCACCTACACACAGATTCAAGGCTCGATCGAAGAAAACCATGTTTAAAGAGGAAACTTGAAAAATACAAAATCTAGCTTCTTCCACATTCACGCGACTTTTTCCCTCCGCAATCCGATCGATAGAAAAAAGGACACAAAACTCTCAAGGCTGATTGGCTACCTAACTTTCAAGGTCCAACTCGATACATTGGTTTCTCTTCACGAGACAGTTACGCTTCTTATCATATACGCTTCTATTGCGTAATAAATTGTATCAGGAGAGGGTAATTAACCAACGAGTAAACGGGAGACATTCGAAGGAGAAACTTGTGGAGGAATCGTGGAGATCTGTAGAGATCGAGCGTTATCGTTATTAACGGCACGGTTTCACGGGGGAAAAGATAAACCAAGTGTTGTTAACAATTTTACGAGACCCGGATGGATGATAAAACCGAGGCCAGAGTCATGCTCTGTTTCGCGGAGGATACATAGTACGCAGTGGCGGTTGTGCAGCAAACTTGGATGACTATTTAGAGATGATAAAACTGCAATCCTTGTGGATTCATTTTTACTGTTCTGGAACGTGGAACTGGTTATTTTGTTAGTTTCAATCCAATTCATTTCTTTTTTATTCGATTAACTTATCGATTTGTGCAGTGCGATATAAATCGTGACGATAGGATTGGTAAAAGAGCGAAAGATGGAATGAGGACAAGTCAAAAATTACGACTTAAGTGTTCCCGATAAAATATATTTATAAGATTTTATGTTACGTATAATATCACTAAATCATAGTGGAAAAATGAATCGAAACGATTCTTTATTTTATTTGACATTTTTCTGAAAAATAATCTCTGCAATTTCGGATAATCTTCGAACAATTTCCTTAACAAATTACTTAAATTAAAAACTAAAATTAAAAACTTTTTTCCATATCTTCTCTATTATTCAATCAAAATAATCAAGTCGACATTTCTACCTTGAAGAGAGAGGGGTAACGAGATTCTAATCAAACAAAAGTTAAACGCCTCTTACTACGAAAAAAAGAAACTCGACACGCGGGGGATGTGGAAAATGCGCTTGTAAACAGTTTGCGCCCGATGGAGAAAAAGAGTAAACCCGTAGATAATTTTCACCGGGGTACAAAGTAAATGTCGCGCGCGAGTCGCGATCAAATATTGACTCGTCTCGAACGTATGCATGCAGATTTATATTTTCCGTGTTATATTTTTCGTGTAAACGTTATCTTTTTTTTTTCCTCTCTCGTATCAATCCTGATTCACCTGGTGGCCCGGTGCTATCTCCCCGATTCATCCGGCCGCGGGAACACATTGCTTTCACATCGCGCGTGAAATCATCGCGAGAACGTGGAGAATATCGTGGCTGATATTCCGTTCAGAGTGTACAGAAAGGGGAAGAAGTAAGCTCTTGTAAATCGTTTATCGCCTCGTTTGGAAATGTTCCGCGGTCGAAGATGGTAAATTTTACTCTTTGGATTGTAGATTTTTGGTTTCTCGAAATGAAACTCTGTCGAGAAACTTTTAACGTATTTGTAGCTGTAGTTGTCGTCTGAGTAATTAGTCTTGGAAAGTGTTTCTCACGAATGTGGTGAAAATTATTATCAAATTTCTGGCAAGAGGAGCAACTCGAGTTGCTCGTAAAAGTATCGCTGTCCGATTAAAATTATCACGCTTTTTGACGGTACAATAACCACATTTATGATTGCATACACATTGCGTGTTGATCCTTAATTGGAAACGAATCACGAGAGAATTCTAAGAAAGAGTTTCACGAAAGAAATTCACATCGAAGAGTTAACAATTCCGTTCGTTCGATCATCAATTTCAAATTTCCCGCTCAAAACGATCCATTCATCGAGCTCACGATCCGAGTCGAAATTCCCAAATAAAAAAGCAAGATGAACGTTCCACCAGTGTATACATCGCTCGAAACAAAAGGTTTGATGCAAAAAGTGGTCGAACCAAGAATGATCTAGGAGCAATTAGAATTAATAATCGAGCCGAGATTTTCACGTACACCGGAAGACGACACGGTTCGCGTACTCCCGTCTGGAAATTGAAGTTTCTTCTTCTCGCTGGTTCTCCAGCTTATCGTATTCACAGGCTCGCGTGTAACGGCTCGAAATTGTCTCGCTCGTTGGCTTCGTTTGTGCTCGAGTCTTGTTAACGCGGCCAACTTTTCGTTATCGCCACTCCTTTTGTTCTATGGGGAAGTTGAGGGGAGGGCTGGCGTCGAGAAAACTTTCGCCAGGGTGTTACAAACGTCGGTGACTGCGTCGAGGAACGAAACTGATAAGCGATGGAGGAGGATCGATCGAAAGGAAATTTTGTGGGAGGATCGATTCGATTATTTCGATTTTTCTTCTTGAGAATTTGGGGACAATTAGGTTTTGAACAAGAATTTTGTGGAAAGCGTTGGATTGATCGAAAGGGAATTTTGTGGAAAGAGCTATTCGACGCTTGGATTTTTAATTTTTTTAATATTTTAGAAAGGAATTTTGTAATGGGTGAAAAGCAGATTGATGATGATTGATGAAATTTTGTGAGAGGATCGATTTTTTTAAGAATTTGGGGACAATTAGGTTTTGCAACGTGTTGGAAAGGAATTTTGTAAAATGGTGGAGCGATCGTGATTGATCGAAAGGGAATTTTGTGGAAAGAGCTATTCGACGCTTGGATTTTTAACCTTTTTAATATTTTAGAAAGGAATTTTGTAATGGGTGACGGTGAAAAGCGGATTGATGATGATTGATGAAATTTTGTGAGAGGATCGATGTGATATCACGTGTTTCAATTTTAACGGAATATTCGGATATATAATTATCTTTTGAAATCCTGTTCGAAACGAGATACGATACCGCGTGTATTTAGTGTGTGGATACGAAGGCGTGAATGACGTTCATCGAAAGTAAATTTTGCAAAACGATAGATGCAATAATTGCAATTGGTGGTTTTCGAGAGGAGATGTCGATTAAGAGACCCACGCAGCTTTAATCCTAGGTGACAAATATTTTGAATTAAACTACTCGTGTTAATACCATTAATATTACTTAGATAAAAATATAAAAAAAGGAAAAATCTTTAAATAATTGTTAAAATTAATATCGCAGTAATTTATATCCCAGTCTATCTAATCTATCGTTATAAAATCGAAGATAGCTGTATCGGATATGAAAAGCAGCATAAAAAAATGTCATGCTGTGATATGCTGATATTAGATACGTGACGAATAAGGCAATAAGTTGTACAATATACGTTACTGTATCTTAATCTTGCATTATTGTGCACAGTTACGAGATAAACGAGAGACGAAGTTTAGCGTGTTATTTAAGAAGAATAATCGTTACACCAGCATTTAAATTGCGTGACAAGCCGGCATTAAACTTGAACGTATACTTTGCACTGATACCGAGTCTTAACCTATTAAGACTTCTTACAAACGTAATAATTTCATTTCAAAAGTTTATTTCCATAAGCAGTAGCAGTTAACCGTGAAGTTTTAAGTTAATTATATTCTTCTTCTATGACTGAAACTGTTCTGGAAATTTCTCTTAATTTTTCCTCCAATTTAGAACGACATTGGAAAAATTAGAAGATTAGAATTCTATTCCTCGAGTAATTACAAACATGCATAATATATATAATTTAAAAATTGGAATTGGAATAAAGTTCGCAACTGCAGTTATTCCCATTTAATATTTTCGATATTACCGTGCCGTGAACATATTTCTGATATTTGCTTGGAGATACAAATATACCGAACATTGTCTATAAATAGTGCGCATTCCTTCGCAACCCATACCGCTCTATTTAAATATGAAATTCTTGCCTAAATTTATTTATTCGGAAAAATTTTCATAAACGAAAGACACGTATATATTTCGAACCAATTATAAATCCACTTAAGAGAATAATTTACCTTCTAAATGATCCGAAAAGACGATCGATTCGAGGCGAGGAAAGAATCTCGAATCAAGAAAAAAAAAAAAAAAAAAAAAAAGAAAAAAGAAAATCTCCTCGTACACACCCCTCAATCTCGAGAGACAAGAACAAAAGGTGAATCGAGGAATTATTCAAGGAGCTCGGTCTACATTCCTATTCCCCGAGAAACTTTCTTAAAAGATTCAACGACTACTACATTCTAAGGATTCAACGAACGAAACAGCCCCCCCCCCCCCGAAATTTACCTGAAAATTCCTGGCGGTGTTGCACCTGCCGTTCTCGAAACGTTTGCAGGGGTTGTTGGAAATTTTCCCGCGGGTTACCCGCCGGCTCCCGACGATGGCCACTCAGCCGGTGGAAGTTTTACGTAGGGCACGTTTACGTAGACGCGTTCGCAAACACTCGAGTCTGGCGTTAGAATGTTTAAACGGGTGGTAAAAGAAGCGGTCGTTGGTTCACGTTGGTTGCGAAACTTTTCCACCGGCGAACACGTTTGGCCACGTTTCGTCCATTCCAGTTTTCGGGAAAATTTAACCGCGGATCCTCCAAGATTAGAGGTTGAAAAAGTTTTTTGTGTTTGGAGAGTTTGTTGTCGCGGTGGAGATTGGTCTAGTTGGTTTAGTTAGTTGGTTAGGTTAGTTTGAAAAAGTGACGGGTTAAAATGGATTTTTAAATCGGTAATCGCTCTAAATGGAGGTGATTGGGTAGGTGGAATTGGTCGAACGAGATGTGAATAATAATTTTTGAAAAACGATAGGAAAAATGTTGAGAATCATGTTGGGAAATGATGAATGAGCATAAAATAACAGCATAACGTTTATAAAATTGTTGAAAGAAATATCAGGTGAATTAATAAATTTGATTGAACTTTAAAGTTCAAAGTTTAAATGTACAGGTGTTTGCGATAGTTATTGAAAGCAACAGAAAATGTTTTAATCGATATAAAGTATATAAAAATCAAAAATTTTTTGAAGAAGAATGTACAATCGATATGTTTATTAATTTGGTCGCTTACTTTGTCGTATATTAAATATCAATATTATTTGAAACAATAAATTGATTGAAAACACACGAAAAACAATATTATTATATCGGGATAAAAATATAAATTACCAAACCACTTGGACTTGTTTTTAAAAAGAATTTAAATCTTTTTTAACATCAAGGATTTTGCAAAAAAAAATATTAAGAACCCTATTAAGAACTTAAGCACAAAGAATGTACTTTTGATTCTGTTTCAAGGTTCTAACCTTAAAATGAGCTGTTACACACAGTCTTAGGCGCTTTTGTCTCGAGAGTTGCGATACTTGAAACTTGCTGTGGTTTGACGCTTGGCTGAATTTACTACTCATCTTGTTTCATTGTCTCTGTTTGTTTAAGCTTCGAATGGAACCTCGAAGAATTTACCCAATCTTCGAATTTAATCATCTCGTACAATAATACCACGTAATATACGTTCACATATCAACCAACCAATTTCAAGAGCCACGTGTTTACAACATTTTACAAATGTGCAATGATACGATAGTTACGACAAATAAATTTAACTTCCTTTTGATTTCCATTAAAAAAAACACACACACACGCACCCCCCCAAAAAAAAAAGATAATCCCCACAAAAATTTCGATACACAGATCAGAATTTGACCCAATTACCTTCGCCCAAGATTAAAGGAAATC